ATTTACCTACACATGTAGATGTATGGACATATGCAACAGAGAAAGCTAAGCGCTAACAAAAACAAAGCCACTCACCTATCCAATGCATGATGCAGCCTGCAGCTCTTTCCTCTCAGGTGTGCATCGCTCTTCTACATAGCTTTCTATCCAGACAGTTGGCGACTGCTCGCGCCCCAATGCATGGCGTGGAGATCAGGGTCTGGAACTTTAGGGCGTGAAATCTGAGGTATCCCGCACTACTTAGGTGCGCTTGGGTTCAGACTGTCCGACAACCATTCTTATAAGCTGACAGGACAACTCTATTTTGAACCACCGGGCTGCAATTGCTTCTTCAGGTTCTGTCCTCGACTGGCAGAGAGAAGTTTGGGATGTGCTTGTGTTTGTGTGTGTGTGCGCGTGCCATTGTGTATCTATCTATGTATGTAGATGTATGCATGTATGTCTGTAGGTCTGTTTGTATGTGTGTGTTGCTGCTGTGTATAAACATACCGAGTTACGCTCTACCCTCACCCTAGACCCTAAAACCCCTGCCTTCCTTTCATATGTACTTCCCTACGACCCTGTGCTGCCAACAGAAGCCGAGTGCAAATCCCGGCCTGGCAGGCCTATGGCTGTCCGCTACTCTTGTACATATTACGTCTGGACCCCGGGCATGAAGGTGTTCTCGAAGGTTTCGGGGTTCCACAAGCTTTTTGCCTCACTTGAAGTTTTGCGCCGAGGGTTATAGGTTTACGGGCCTATTACGGGCCTACACCTCCGCAACCCCAGCAAGCTTTGCAATTGAAGGCCCGTCTTGCTGCGAGTCGAGAAGGCTTAAGCACTGAGCCCCAAGCATTACGAAACCCAACCCTCGTATCGAAGAAACCTCGATGCCTTTCTAACACATAAAAACGTACTGAAGCCGTTCAAGGGTGTTGGGGACTATAAGGGTTCAGAATGTGTTTCATCTTTTCACCCCTAATCTTGAACCCTAATCCTATAAACCTAAACCCTCGTCCTTTAACCCTAAACCCGAATCTTTAAACCGCAAACCTTAAGCCAATGGCAAGCTGATGAACATGTTGAATGGCAGTAGCACAACACTTGACACGAAATCAGGGACGGTAGGCAGGACTGCGACAAGTTCACTCGGCTATATACCTTATGAAAATGGCATGTGTAGAGCAGTGTAGAGGTTGCGGGAATCCGAAACAGACACGCCCGATAACATGATCGGTGCAAACATGCTCAAGATAGGGTTTCCAGTTTCCAGTCTGTGCAGACGCAACAACCGCGACTAGGAACAATCTACTTTGTAAACGGCATGAGCCGGACGGCCACTTTAAGCTGCAAGCCCAAGAAATCCCTAATCCCTAAACCCTAAACCCATATACCCGAAGTCTCCAACCCCCAAGCCAGAAGTCCTGCGACCCCTGAGCCTTACCCCCNNCCCCCCAAAAAAAAAAAAAAACTTGAAGCCTTAGTAAGAGTACTATAGAATAGCTCGGCATAGTATCCCTCTAAGCTAACTACCATCAAGGTCCCCTGCGGCACAGGCGTGTCCCAGACCCCTAACACGTGACTTTCTTGACAGGGGCTTTGGAATGTGGGTGTTTTCGGTTTATTTTGACATCCACGGGTGTTGGGGTTGATAGGTTCAGGGCTTAGGCTGTTTGGCAGAGGTTTTGGGCTACACGTATTCCAGGTCGCCTAGTTGGGGTTTGTATGGGGATCTCTCTTTATCCCTCAAGTTGCAAATGCTGGACCCAGGCTGACTCATGGTGGAACCAGTGGGGCAGCACGTTCCCTGGCCCAAGATGAAGCTAGTTGTCGTTCGGTTTGTAGAATCGGCCGGCTGACATCAGGGTCCCCCTCCTTTAGAGGCGATCGATTCAGTTACCTCTTATAATGGGCTGCCATTGGGGTCCTGTCTGGTCTCCTCAAGTGACGAGGGCATCAGTGTGAAATGTAGTTCATGACGACGTGTGCGCAATATGGAGAGCATGCTACAATCAGAGACAAAGGTTATTGCAGGGCATCTGCACATGCATTTCCAAAGTGCGCCGTCAAATCAGAGTGCACTGCGATGTAACACAGGCGAAAAGCCAAGAGGTAAGCGAGTAAGCGAGCCTTCAGGCACAATGCCGTGTACCAGCGAGATACGAACTACGAACCGCAGCGCTGGACATCAGAGTTTCCAACATGTCGAAGAAACTGGTCTCTGCTGACAACAAAGAAGCCAAAAAGCTGTCGGAGTATCAGTGCTGGTGGTGTTGGCCGTGCTGATGCTTATGGTACTTGTGGCTGGTGCTGGTGCTAGTGCTGGTGCTGGTAGTTGCGGTGGTGTCGGTGGTGGTGGCGGCGGCACCGATGTTGGATGATGTCGCTTAGCCACAGCCGTCGACGCCGATGCTGTTGCGGTGCTTTATGTGTCTGACTGGTTGAATTTTGTTGTCCCTGCTGCTGCTATCACAGAAATCCTCTTATTACTAATAAACTATGTGAGTTTCACACTCAACACTGTTTTTGCGACTGTTGGGTTTGCAGGTGTACGATGGCACGCCTCAACAAGCAGTTGACTGGCATTCTGCTCGGCATGTGTGCCAAGGCTTCCTCAGGGGACGACCAGGTCTGACATGGCTGTTGCTTTTGCGAACCCCAAACCCCCTTAAACCCTAACCGTTCTAATCCCAAAACCCCCCTAAGCCCTATAATCCTAAACCCCTCCCCTAAACCCTAATGAAACCTGAAATTTAAGTCTGGTCAGAAGAAGCCCTCAATCAAGCATATCTTGGCAGGGGCCTTGTTGAAACTCATCGGTTTATGAACCCCAAACCCTAAACCCCGAAACCCTAACAAGTTAAGGGCTTGTGGGGTTCAGGGTTTGGAGGACACTCAGCCTCAGAGCTTGATAGTCCGCCTTCCAGCTGCTTTGCATGCGTTTGGGTGTAGCTTTTGGGGCGTTGCTTCTGTTCTAGGGTCTGGTGTGTATATAGAATACCTCTTGGCTGCCACACCCCAACTCTTAAACCACTCGCTCGCTGGCCGACTGGGGGTTGTGTATTCATGGCGGTGACTAGCCTATGCCCCTGTCATGATTGTGGAGTAATTGGAACCGCAAACCCTAGATTAACTACAAATACTAATGCCCGAAATATTGGAGGCGATTCTCGGCCAACTCGCTCTTCGAGTTCTGAGCGGCCGAGCACTGAAAACTGCCGCGGAGAAGAGTCGGCGAGAGCTTCCAACAGCCGCAAGGAGGCCAGAGAGCGGGAGGGTAATTTTAGGGCTACCATATTGGGGCTTAGGGTTTTATAGCTAGCTTATAGGGCTAATTAATTCTTATATTGGGGTTTAGGGCTTAGGGCTACCATATTGGGGGTTAGGGGTTTACGGCTAGCTTAGGGTCTAGGGCTAATTCTTATATTGGGGTTTAGGGCTTAGGGCTACCATATGGGGGTTTAGGATTTAGTGGGTGGTTCGTGGCTACTCTGCGATTACTACCAGGCTTGGTTGCGGGTCTTCAGGGTCAGTCAAGGAAGCTCTGGATCGGCAGACGACGTGCGATGTATTTAATGGATAGTGTTTACATGTGTTTACATTTCATGTTTTACTATTTATGACGAACTAGAATGTTTTACTACTTTTTAGTTGCTCATTCCATTTAGTTTGTTACTGTTGATTGTTGTCTATATTGCTTCTACTAACTGGTTCTCATTCATTATTCTTTGTTTCTGTATGTCATTTACTTGAAGACTTCTAATGGGTTTTGATTAATATCGCCTCTAACTGACTCTAATACTGCTATTCGGTACTAGCCATTATCGAATGTTCAGACTCGGGACTGGGGATTGCCCGATCCTGATCGTTGCAGCTGGTTCGGGCATAATGCCAAAATGGAGCTGCACTTGTTCTCACGTATTCTCAATGTTATGCCGCTGCTACGGGACCCGTAAGCCCTAAACCCGAAACTGCCATGTTTGTGGGGCTCCCCGGTGCCCTCAAAGCAGGAAAGCCCGAAAAGCGCCCATCTCCAAGCCAGTATCCTCAGGTCCTCAACTCTGTCATAGTATCCCTAGACCGATGGCCTAGACTCGGATCCTGAACCATAAACTCGAGTCGTAGACGAAGCACCGGAGCCGCGGATCTTGGACGCTGAGCCCCAAACCCTAAACCCCGTAAAACCCCTAAAACCCCCTAAACCCCGTAAGACCCCTAAAACCCCGTCAACCCCTAAAACCCCTAAAGCCTCCTTAAACCTCCTAAACCCTGAACCTGAACCCTAACCAGAGAGGACTGGGGCAAAGCTGGTAGCCAAGCTGGATGAGATCATGGCGACTCCCAGGCTTTCGCTTCCTAAGCTTCGGTTAGCCTTTTTTATAGTCTTTGTGTTCGATCGATACATATATATATATATACATACATACATACATACATACATATATATATATATGGTACCCCTCCTGAACCCCAACCTGTCAGGTTACTCGGCTGCAGAACGGCGTCTCATGGAACGGCATTTACGGACGCGTTTAGCCACGGCTCTCTGACGACGAGAAGTGCGAAATCTCAGATGACGACCATTGAATGATGCGACGTGATAAATCTTGTGTTGGCCGGCTTTGCAAACGCTTGATACTAAATAATTACTGCCTAAAATTGGTTTTCCAACCATTTCAACGTTTTCCACGAATTCCTTTGCACATACTGTAGAAAAAATCGCGGAACTTTGGAAAAGTTGGAAAAATCAACTTTGGGTAGCATTTCGTGGAAAATATTAGAAAACCAACTCTACGAGGCACTTATGGCAACTATATCAGTTGTTCACAATCTCACTGACCCCCAAACTCACTGACTTACAAATTCACTGACTCACCCAATTCTTTCACAGACTCGTTGATTCACTGACCCACTCTCCATGTGCTCATGTCAAACTGCAAAACTTTTATTAAGCAGCCGTATCTACCCCAAAACCTAGATTCGGATAGGATTTCCGCTTAGATTGCATCGCCATGGAAGGCATGGGTCGTCAAGGCGAGGTGTCCATCGATGCTGGCATCCAAGCCACTCAGGGTATGTCCCCTTCAAAACCTCTGCCCTATCCAGCTTGGTCAGATCAAGCGCGGGGTGGAATCTCTTTCTTCGATCTCTGCAGGACGTCAGGTGTGACAGCGCCAAGCACATAGTGGACATCATCAACAATGTGCCGCCGCCTGATAAGACTGCCATTGAGACCGCAATCAACTCTGGTCACTGGGGAAAAGATCGGCTACCCGAACCCGTTTGTTTGAAATCCGAGATGGAAGTCAACCCTCAAGACAATGGCAACATCTCTGTTCTCAGGCATATGTATTCCCCAGACGTGAAGCTCACCAAGGCATGTTTGGAGTCTTTGTGCTATGGAACACCTTATGTCTTGAAGTGGCAAGGCCATGCACAAAACTTCAGGAAAGGGTTTCAATGGTTCTTGCAGCAATTGGGTGGATGGCAGTGTCGTCAATACGCGCTGACCCATATGCTACCTTGCCACCAACCCCGTCAGGATAGCTCCAAAGGTGGCTCTTACATGTCCAATCTGAGCGAAAAGGCCGTCGACAAGGGCTTCGCTTTCATCGAGGAGGAAGCAGGTCGACTTGGCACTGAGTGGAAAGGTGTACAATGGACGACCAAAAACTTGAACACGAACTCCGAGTCTCCCATCTACGCGCGGCCTCAAGCATTGGTGGAAAGATCTTTGCGAGCACTACAAACCGATGGCGTACTAGCCTTGCCCATTGAGGACTTTCATTTTACTCTGGCAGATGTCGAGTACTCCATCCTTGACTTCCGCTGTTCGTCACATGCTCAAGAACATGAAGACGCACTCAAACGGCTTCATTGGCAGCCCCGGCAGTTGCAAAACCCCACTGGCCCGGATCATAGCCATGTGCATTTCAAAGTATTGGAAGCGCACCCTCAAAATCTCTACCCTCCTTCATTTCGCGAGGCAACCGAGTTCGACTTCTTCCGGGGTCAAGCTGGTCGAAAGGACCGGCCGGACATACACGACGATGGTTGCCTCGCATCGGAACCTATTCGGAACATGAAAGGTTTCGCAGATGTGGGATGTATTGCAATGACGAGGGAACGGTGGGGAGCGGCAAAATTCGTTCAAGGACAAATGCATTTGTTCGTATGCAACGACTTCGACTTTACGCCGTGGCTGGTGAAGCACCAGCGTATCCGTGCGGGATGCACATTTCACATGAAACACGAAGACTTCTTGGCCGTCATCAAGCCGATGTTCCCGAAGGACACTGAGACTGGGACTTGTTTGTTAAGATGCTTGATTCTTCGTTTTAGCAACAAAAAATTTCATCTTGTTTTCCGTTGTACTAGCCCAAACTCGCATATCAAACTCAGGAAAATCCTCACATCATGGCGGTGCTCAAGCGAGCCAACATACTGGTGAACGCTGGCAACATCATGTTGTTCCACACAGCAACACATGACGAAATTTCCGTGCCCGGCGTAGTCATGGAAACCCATGTGGACTTCTTGAAGCCTGGATCGGCAAGCACCGTGATGGCATCAAGTCAAAGCCTTCCACATTTGACGAAGATCTCAAATGGGAAGCCGACTACGTGAACGCGATCCTCACTGGCAACCCACCGCGACAGCCAAGAGCTACCATCATCAATTCAGGTGCTATCCGTCAACTTTTTCATGGGCAAAGTCACAGGGCCGCCAGCAGTTTCAGCGCATCTTCTCTGCCATCATCATCTTTCGAAACGGCTACGGTGTTCAAAGAAGAGCCCCGGCCATTTCGCAGGGCCTTCTCCACGTTATCAAGCGAGGTCATCGACCTGGGCACTCCTTCACCCAAAAAGAAAGCCAGAGCGGCAACAGTCAAGGAGGAGGCCCCGGAGGAGCTCCAGCTCGATGCTGTGGATTTGGTTTCGCCGGTGAAGCCTCCATCTCTTGGTTCGCCCATGGACGTCATGGACGTCGTCGACACTCACGACGAGGTGCATGACCCCATGGACGATCTTGCAGACGAGCCGTAGGAGCTCCAAGGAATCTCGCAAGAACTCTCCAACTTCATTGATGAATAAAATGCAGCGGATCCTGGTGCGTGAACGTCTGACCCGGCACACACATGACCTTTATCAAAGCCTGCTCCCAACGAGACTAGTTATATCATCTATTGTAGCAAGTTGCTTACTCAGTTTATTTGCTACATATGGTAAGTTGATCCTACTCACTACATCGAGTATGTTTGAACAGGTTTAATCCTTGTCCGGTTGCGGCGG